CCCCCCCCCCCCTTTTTTTTGAAGCTTTACTTTATCTGCACGCATTAAAAATCTACTCCATACTTGTCATGCTCTATTTTTTACTACCGTGTTAAAGCTGTAAATTTGGTCTTATTTTCAAATGTATAATCATTTTGTCATGCCATATTATATAGAGTGTGATGTGAGAAAAAGGGAGAGCAAACTTCAAGTTAACAAAGAGATTTTTACACACTTAACCAGCTCTCAATAGCTGCCAATTTCATTACAGATTTCCTGCAATTTAACTGTCTTAATTCTTTACACCTTGGGTGTATATCTCATCATGCTTTCACACTTTGCCTTGTCAGAAGCGTCTGGCTCACAGTAACTACAGCTAGAGCAGCTTCCTCTGTGCACAGCCCCAGCAAGAGGCTATTACAGACCCCCATTTTATTACCCATTACTACTGAGGTCATTAGCAGCAAGAGGGATTGTATGCTTCTTAACCTATTGATCAATGTAACTACTACCATTTAATCCTGTGCTGAAGGAGTGAAAATCTGCCTAAGACTGGATCCTATTGAGAGGAAGGGCGGGAGGGAGCACTTTAACTGAAAAATATTGCCCTGGCCGCTGTATCATGCCCATTTAACGCAAACACAGGACGCCAGTCGCCATTTAGAGCACTCCCATATGGTGCACTCCCTCATCTCTTGGATAACATCACGACTCCAGATGATCCACAAAAATATATCACCATCTAAAGATAGTCTAAAAGGAGACTCGTACTGGGCTAATAACTGGAGGGATCCACCAAGCCCAGCTCTAATCTACTCTAGCAATATGAGGGTGTGAAAAAGAGGACATTCTGAGGATGCCAGAAATAGCTGACGTTTATGAATTTCGCGAAGGTGTGGTGCTCTCCAGGTGCCTCCCATACATAAACATTCAAACCTGGAACATTCTCACACAGCTGCAGAGTGACTGGAGGCAATATACTGTACCAGCACAGGCCTGCTGGCCAAACACACACACATGCACAAATCTAAACTGTGGCATGTTAACTGTCACAATCACATACAGGCACATGTGCAGCTCATAACAGGAGCAAAGCCATATTTTCCATATGTAGTAAGAAAATGCTTGCACTGTATATTCAGTACAGAAATGTATATGAAATAACAAAATATTTAAAAATAAAATGAAACATGGTTAATTTAAACATATCAAATGTTTTTTTTTAAATTAAAAAAAAATGTCATAATATTCCTTCTGTCAAAGATGGGGATCCTTTATTTCATTTACATTATAATTCTCTTTACTGCATCTGACTATGCATCAGTGCACACACACACACACAGTATAGGAAGCATTTGTCACTAAAAGACACCTGCAGTAAGCGTCTCTTTGTGTATCACTTTTCCAGAGAAAAAGCGCAAAATATGATAATCTAACGAGGGACAAACCGCACATCTGAAAACGTAGGAGAGTCACTGATTCAGAGTTAATGAAGACGCTCCCTGAGCAACCCCCTCCTATCACAAGTCAGAGGTCAAAGCCTGTTGAAAAAGAGTAGGGGTGAAAGAGGCTGTGAGATAGCCCCTTTCCCCGGCACTGAGGCAATTAAGAGGAACAGAAATGAGGGACAAGGAGGTGAACGTCAGTGAGACCGACACAGACGTTTCACTGGCCGCAAAGGTGCAGCTTGGTTGAAAGAAAAAAACGAAAGGAAAAAAAAAAGAAAGAACAGAATTATCAAAATTTCATTTGTGCTCCCTGGGGTCATCTTGTTTTGTAGGGGCATCAAATGGAATTGAGAAGTAAAAAAAAAAAAAAAAAATAAAAAAAAAAAAAAAAAAGAAAGACAATAACGAGCCTAGGAGAAAGTCACAGCAGGTCCTCGTCCGGTTTGATGCTGTTGTCGTACCTTGCCTGCCAGTGGCCAAAGGAAACGACTTCCCGGATCCTGACTATGAACGTTCCTGCATGAAAATGTCGCCCGAAATTGAGCGATTTCACCGGGGCTATGTACTTAAGTGATGTCGCCTGAACATAATTAGTCTTCTTCAAGACTGGAAAGATATAATGTCCAGTATTACCATCTCAAGCGTTGTTGAAATCTCTGAGGTGGAGAAGTTATTCCCCCGGAAAAAAGAAAAAGTAAAATATTTCACACGATTTAACTTTATATAGAATAATAATAATATAACTAATATATACATATATCATAATGGAATCTCTTTGACGTATTACATGTTACAACATAATTTGTGAACAAAACGAACATCATTTGCCATTCTTCAGTGAAGGCCCCTAAAACAGTTTTTAAAAAAATCCGGACAGAGCCACCTCATCGCGTATTGTGTTAAGAGTGTCAAGCCTCCTTGAATTCCTTTCCCTGCGTCATCCACATCAAGCTGCCTTTAAAAATGTTTACCGCTTCAGATAACCAGCGTATCACACGCACATTCTGTCTCTACGTATATGATGCTGCAATTTAGGATGCTAAGGGGGTCGGCGAGGGTGGAGGGGGGGGCTGGGGCTAAAATGATTATGCCAGAACTGTAAAAAACAAAAGTTGAGATTTGGCATTTTTAATTAACCTTTTCTCGACTACCCAAACAAACAGGTTTTTGGGGCCCGCGTCTGCGTCCCAGTGTGTCGGGGGTTTTAAACAAACAAACATGCACGCGACGTGGAGCCGAGCCTCTCGGCCCCAACAATAACAGCTGAGCCTGCACGCCTGGACGCTCTTTCCCACACTTATGAGGCAGGCCAAAAACCCCTACTACAGGGTGATCCACTGCTGGAGGGGTGTGCGAGCACATAGGGCACCCCCCACCACCCCGCCACACTACACACACACAACACACACACAACATCATCAGGGTCTCTATCACTATTCCATTTGCATCAGAGTCTGATTATTAGAGCACTAAATTGATATTGTTATTTTCAGTGAAATTAATTTGTTTTATTTTTATTCTGCAACAAATTTTTCAATTGGGAAAAAAAAAGAGTTATGCAGTGACAGTACTTCGGCGTTAGTATGTAGTTATTCTTACTTGTTTCTAGAAGTGAGCTTTTTCAAACAAAAAACATAAAAAAAAAAAATTTCAGTGTTCACAAAAAAAAACCAACAAATCACCTAAAGCTCTCTTTCAATTTGACGTGTGACTCAATGTCCTGTCACTTTTTTTGACCTTTC